GAGAGGAGAATGGAGGAGAAGGGATTGCGGCGTGACCATCCCCCCTGGGGGGTGATTTCTCGCTTTCTGTCTCTATGTCTCTCTCTGTCTGTCTGGCGAGCGCACGCGCCCTATAGCGAAAATCTCTCCAAAAAAAAAAAGTGGTTTTAGTTACCCGAGGGCCTTCCGCGAGAAGTCTCTGGAAAGTGGCGTTGTCTCACAGTGAGCCTGCCACTCTTAGCTTGTCAGCCCTTTGCCTGCACTTTATGGGCCAACGTGGGTCCCTGCTCGGTGACACAGCAGGGCCATTGTGGGTCCTCGCTCAGTTGGTGACATGGTATGGCCGGTGTGTGGCCTCAGTGACACGGCAGGGCCGGTGTGGGCCCCTGCTCAGTTGGTGACACGGTATGGCCGGCGTGTGGCCTCAGTGACACGGTAGGGTCAGTCCTGTGACTCAGTTGTCCCTGTGTGCACAGATGCCACAGGTCAGGAGTAGCTGTCGTGGCTTCCTTGGCCGAATAGCTCTGTTAGGCCCTCGGAAGCTCACAGCCCTCTGGTGGGCCCGCACCTTGCCCAGCCTGAAAGCAGACCCCTAAAATGGCCCCCACATCCCCACCTAGGTGCCCCCCGACTTAGTCCTGGCCACACTCCACCTCCTGGAGGTGAGGCTTCCTGACCCCTCCACCAGGAACCACAGAGTCCACTGAGCGTCCTGACAGCCCCCTCCGGGTCGGGATCACTCAGTCTGTCGCTGCTCCTTCCCGCCCTGTCCCTGCCGCCCTCAAGAGTGCGGGCCTGCCGTGCCTTGTTCCGCGGCCCGTGTGCAGAGCAGGGCCAGTGGCCACTCCTGGAGGGGTCACCGAGTGTGGGGCTGCGATTCGGGGGCTATGGGCCAGGACGGCCTGCACAGTGATCGTGGCTCCTGAGTTATTTCTATTTCTCGTTGCTCCTTTTTAAAGTCTTTTCCTCCCGAGGCCTCTTCCCCCCTCCACTCCTGCCGTCTGGTCTTCCCGGACACCCATTCATTCCATTTGGGGAGCGCTCCCCTCAGACCGACGTCTGCTGGCGAGCGGCTGTTCGCTGTCGGCAACTGTCCTTCGGTGGTAAATGTTCGGTACAGGCTCTGAGCCACCGGAGGAGCCAGAGCTGCTTACTGTCACCGACTCGTCACCGGGTTGTCCCGCCCCTCTGTTCCAGATGCCATCAGCCCCACTAACCCGCGGGTCATCGACGACGCCAGGGCCAGGAAGCTGTCCAACGACCTGAAGCGCTGCACCTACTACGAGACATGTGCCACCTACGGCCTCAACGTGGAGCGGGTCTTCCAGGACGGTACGTGCGCTCCCGTGGCCGCTCTGCCCGCAGGGCGCTCTGCCCGCAGGGCGGTGTGTATCCGAGGGCCGGAGTGGCAGACACGCATCACGACCTGTGGGCGCCTGTGTTGCGGCCCAGCACTCCGTCTGGGAGGCGGTGAGCGATTCCCGGTTCTCCGTGAAAACCGGCCCTATCGTGGGCCCCACGTGCCGTGGCCTGTGGCCCTTCTGCTCACAGGATGAATATGTCCTGAGCCGTGACTTAGCCGTGCGTGTGTGTCCGAGGGCCGGAGTGGCAGACACGCATCACGACCTGTGGGCGCCTGTGTTGCGGCCCAGCACTCCGTCTGGGAGGCGGTGAGCGATTCCCGGTTCTCCGTGAAAACCGGCCCTATCGTGGGCCCCACGTGCCGTGGCCTGTGGCCCTTCTGCTCACAGGATGAATATGTCCTGAGCCGTGACTTAGCCGTGCACACCGTCAGACTCGCATGCGTGCCATTTCTTATCTTACTTTCCACTCTTAATCCCATCCTGCCCAAGAGAAGTGAGGATAGTTGATGTTTGGCACTCAGGAGGACAACCTGGAAGAAGATAGCATTAGGTTCGGACCAAAATTTAAAAAAAAAGAAGGAGAATCGCACTGTAGGTCTCACGACTGAGCGCAGACCGGCATTTGTGTAATTGATCATTCATTACTGGCCACCGAGCTCTGGGATGGCCAGAGGGGTTCTCCTGGAGCAGCTCACGGTCCTGCAGGGGGTGGGCAGTCACAGAGGTGATTGTGACCCTTATGTCGGCTGTGGGGGTGTGGGGGTGCGTGGGGGAAGGCGGGGAGCCTGGAAGGTTGGCACTAAAGTGATTCTGTTAGAGCTAGACTTGGGAGGAACTTGGCAGGAGGACGCCCTGGCAGAGGGGCCTACTTTTGTGAGAGCTGGGAGAAGCAGCCCCCCTCACCTTCTGGTTTACGTCCATGGTCAGCAGGGCCACCTCTGTCCCCTGCTCGGTGCCGGGGCTCGTCGGATGCAGAGCAGCTGGGTGTGGGCTCTTGGGGGACTGCCTGAACCACGCAGAGGTCCTAGGGGCCACCGTGCACTGACCCGAGGGCAGCTGTTACTAGGACAGTGACCGCAGGGCCACATCTGGGGCCACGCCTGGGTCTGCCCCTGGGGCTGCTCCTGACTGGGCAGTCTGCGCTTTTAAGTAAGCAGGGTGGCTTCCAGGTGGGACCGCGGCCGTCCACACTGTCCGACCTCACTAAATTGCGCGGGTTGGGTCAGATTTCTTACCTGGTTATTATTATTTGTTAAGAGTCTATTAACCGAACAGATGCTTCACTAATGCAAACACGGACGTGAGAGGAGAGGAAGTGAGAAACCCCCCCCAGGGGCGATGGCCACACTGCAGTCCCTCCTCCATCCTCCCCTCGGGATCTTGGGCACGCACACACCTGCATCGGGCATACTTTTCACGCCGTCAGGTCCGGGACTCGCACCGTGCAGGTGGCCATGTGGGATCCGGCGCCCTGACCGCTGCCCACTGCCGGCCTGGTTGCATCGTCAGACTTGGTGTGCGCTTCCCCTTCCCTCTGAAGCCGGCTCCATCTCGGCTCACCCTGGCTCCCCTCTCTACCTCACGGCCAGCTACCTGGTTCTCTGCAGTTACCTTGTCTCCACCTCTCGTTTCTTAGCCGAGGACACCCCTGAGAAACAGCAGGCTGGCCTGGGGTCCTGCGGCCCCTCTCCCTTCCACGCACACCTTCCAAGGCCTCTCTATGCCATCCGCTGGGAGCACCTCCTGTGGGTGACCAACCCTGGCATTCGCAGCCCATGGAGGGTTAAAGGCCGAGGAACCATTCAGGAGGCACGGGGGTCCTTCCGAGAGAGCACGTCTGACAGGTCACCACTGTGTAGTCGGGGCCCCGCGACCTCAAGATGGTGTCCCCCACGTACCGCTTTGAAGTGGAGGGCTGAGGACGATGCGGCTCCACACTGGCACCCGGGCTGGGCAGGCCAGCACCCCTGTCTGTCCATCGACTCTCCCCGACCACAGCTGTGCCCTCCCGCTCACAGGCTGCTGTGGGTTTGGGTGCTCCGCTGCATGGCGGGGCAGTGCCACATCTCGGGCTTGAGGGTCTGAGCGCCGGACCTCGGCCGGCCCGCTAGGTCCCCGGTGGCAGCGATTGGAGCTTTGGTGTTCGAGCCGCGTCTCCGCAGCGTTGCTTTGCTTTGCCCACGTTCATTGTGTGGTGGCACGAACGTGCATGACTAAATGCGCTCACAAATCGATCTCGCCAGTTAACCCATGCTGGGGAGACAGCGAGGTTCTGGTGCTTTCCTGCCGCACTGTCGTTCCGTCCCACCTGCTGTCACGAGGGTCCGTAGCCCAGTGGCTGACCTGCAGTCATTGGTTTCCCACGGTTCTGGAGGGTGCGAAGTTCGGGTCGAGGGCCGGCAGGTCTGGTGTCTGGTGAGGGCCTGCTTCCTGGCTCGCAGGTGGCCGCCTTCTGGCTGCACCCGCACGTGATGGGGGGAGAGGTCGCCGCCCTGTTCTGTCCCTCCTCAGAGCGCTCGTCCGTTTATGGGGCTCTGTCGTCACAGCTCAGTTACCTTCCCAGGTGGTTACCACAGGACTGGGATTCCGATGGAAGACCTTTGTGGGACCCGGACTGCGGTCTGTAACGGCTCTCGAATGTTCCAGCTGTGGGCGCCGGTATGTGTCGTCTGCGAGTTGAGGCGTTGGCAAGAGAAGAGTGAGGAGCGACGTTTCTTTCCTGACGTCACTGTCTCCGTTCACCGTGTTAGTAGGTCACGCTCTGCCCGGTCAGTGGGCGCAGGGTACCCGTAGGGGAAGCTTTTACAGTCTCCTAGAGATTTTCAGTCCATCTGACCCTCTCTTGTTTTAGGAATGCTGTGTTCCCATTGAATATTTAGATTTCATAGCGTCTGAAGGGGAAGTGATCCCGGGATGTTATAGTGATCATTTTGGTCCTTGAAATATGTTTGTTTACGTGAAGGTGAGTTTTAAAATAGCATGGAGGTATGGAGGTTCCTGCTCTGCGTATTTTATAGTAAGTGTAGGCGATGTCCTTTTTTTTTTTTTTACTTAAATCACAAGCTTATATTGTTAGTGCTGAAAGCTGTGGAAGACTGAACTCTCCTGCATTAGCTTAGTAATCTTTAACAGTAACAATCCGTTTTAATCCGCAAATGGGGAGAAATCTGGAGGTTTATAGTTAAAGAAGTCGAGGCTCAGAGAGGTCGCGTCACTTGACTGAGGGTCACACAGCGGGGTGGATCCCGAAGAGCCCGGAGCCTTCACCACGATACTCAGGCTTGGAAGCTCTCAGGGTCCTGGGCCTCGCTGGGCCCGAGGGTGCCTGGCCCTGCCCGTGGACCTGGGCCTGGGCAGGGCTGGGCTGAGGGAGCCCCCGGCCAGTTTGCAGCCTGCTCCCCAGGGGTGCATTTAGCTTTCCGTTTCGCTTTGTGGCTTCCCTTATGCCTGGGTGTTCTCCTACCATCTGCATGTGCTATCTGTGCGTTGTAGAGACAAAGTGGACAGATAGACAAAGGAGCGTGGTCCCTCTGTAACGTTTACTCACACCCAGGAACAAGGCAGCCAGGTGTGCCCGGCTGCCCTCTGAGTCCAAGCTTCCGACGCACCGGCCACCCTGGCGTACTGCTTACGAGGCCAGGGACCCCATTCTTCGCTTCTTTAGTTTTTGACTTTGTCCCAGAACCGGGGAAAATGTAAAACTGGTGGAGAAACACGGCATCTGTCCCCCTTTATTTCGTCCACGTAGTCCCCAAGTGGCAGCCTGCAGCTGGCTTGTAGGTAACCGGCAGGGCGTTCTCTGTCAGTGTCCAGGTGTCAGGAAGCAGGGGTAGCTGGGCTCCTTGGCACTTTCCCTCCTCCCTTGGTCCCTAGAGCACCACCTTCACACACCGAGTGTCTGGATGGGACAGGGCACCGGGATGGCAGAGCCAGGGGGAGGGGAGTGCGAGCAGTCACACAGGATGGGACAGGGCACCGGCATGGCAGGGCCGGGAGGAGGGGAGTGCGAGCAGTCACACAGGATGGGACAGGGCACTGGGATGGCAGGGCCGGGAGGAGGGGAGGAAGAGC